AACAAGAACAAATAAAGGAAGTACAAATGCTGAGATATTATGCTATAAATATACTATCATTAGATAGAGAACTAGAAAAATAACTGTCAGACAGAATAAAGAAATTAAATGAATAGGACCCAAGGAAAGGCATACAATATAGTGATTTGCCAATAGAAGTTATAAACAACTACCAAGAAAACCCAATAGATCTAATAGATTATTTAATGAATTCAATGAAAAACCTAAGCTTAGAAAGAAAAGAAAGATATCAAGATCAACAAGAAGATGAAGCTAGAAAAAATATCCATGATGATAAAATAGGACAAATAACTCAAAAATTAACGAAATCAGAAATAAATATTTACATCAAATAGAACCATCCAAGAAGAAAAATAAATCACCAACATCATCATCATTCTCACATATGTGGAAGAAAATGAATAATGATTTAGAAGAAATCAAAAGAATACAGAATGAAAATGACTTAAAGGAACTAATAACAGATCTAGAGAGATTAATGGAAGATATAGCAGATATTGAAATGAAATTTCTAAAATTAACAAGAATGGACGGAAAAGAAATACATAAAAATTGAAAACTTATACAAGAAATACCTACATTACCAGAAGATGTAAGAGACCATCCTGGAACTGAAAGAGAGAAGCTCTGGAATGCAATCCAATGGGTAGATAGACAGAATGAAATAACACAAGATTTTGTTAAAAGAGAAGTAAGAAGAAAAGAGATAGAATACCAAAAAGATATAAATAAACAATTGAATAGAACAATTGAAGACTTTAGGAAGACGCAAGACTACGAAAAACAGGCCATTTTACATAATTTAATTCAAACCTCAGTAACAAATACAGACCCAGAAATAAAAACCCAAGCAGAGATAAAATATAATGAATTTATGAGTAAAAGCCTGAAAAACCCAAAGAGAACACAGAAAACATCTACAAAAACTACAAGGATAGATACAACCAAAGACTTCTTTAAACAATTAAGGAAAGAAGATAAACAATTAAAAAAAATAACTAAAGAAAGAAAACAAAAAGAAGAAGAAATAAAGAAAACAATAGACTCAGATTCAGATAATGAAAGTGACTTAAAAGATAAAAACATTCAAAGGGAGCATAATAAGTTTATAAAAAATCTTAATAAAAGTGAAGGAAAACAATCAAATCTTAGACCAGACTGGCAGGATTTAAGAAGCAAATCTAGGACCAAATATTAACAAACCAAGTAAAAAAGACTCATTAAGACCTTTAATGATAAATGATAAAGTGTCAAACATTCATATTTAAAGAAATCAAGTATCAGTAGCATGGCTAGCACCAGCAGTATACCTAGTATACATTTGAATGGCCAGCCAGCTATAGTACCTACTGATTATGAAGAGACATATGAGATAGACAATACAGGGAACCTTCATAAACAAGGAGATATAAAAATAGAAGAAGATGACAATAACATATACAACTTTAATGATAATCAACAGAAATATCAAGAAAATGAACAAGAAACTCCCCAAAAAAAGTCAAGAGAGTACTAATATTTTTTCAAAAGAATATAATTATGTTTTCAGAAGAAAAAGAAGCAAAAATGACCTAAAAGAAAACATAATAAAGAAACAAGCTATAAGAAACATAGAAAGCGAGCAAAATAACTCTAAATTCATCAGAAAAAGGAAAGTATCTAATGAAAAAAGAACACATAAAAATAGAAATAAAGAAACCTGGCAAGAAGCCAAAGAAAGAGACAATCAAAAACTTAAAGAAGAATACAAACAAATACAAGTACAAAAAGAACAAAAATGGCAAGAAAAAAAAAGTAAACTAAATGAACAATATAAAGAACAACCATATAATCAAAAAGGATTAGAAATAGGAATAGATGAAGGCTCACAATCACTATTTATAAGACCTACATCAGGACGATTTAGCATACCAATACTACTAAAAGATGATTATTAAACCTCTTTTGAATACTACAGTAGTAATGATAACTATAGCCATTATAATAATAATGATAAACTATTTAATATAGAAATTAAAGAAATCAAAAATGAACTAATAAAGATGAAGAAAAGAACTAAAATAAATATACATGAAGAATTAGGACATATATCTAATAAAATTAGAAGACATATAATACCAACATTAGAAACAGGAACAACTTTGAAAACAAAAAAAGAATGCGTATTAAAACTATATACATGGACACCAATAGAAATAGACAGAAAAAGAGATTATTTAGTAACAACACCAATGTATATTACCAAAGAAGGAATATGTATACAACCTGAAATAGTTAATGATCACCAAATATAGGCAATTAACTATACAAATAAAGTAAAGAAAATATCT